TACCTCGGTTGCAGTTTGTCCCCAGCCCTGGTTGGGTCATGCGGGTGGCGGCCACTCGATGTGTCCCTTTCACGTCGATGTTTCTTTCTCTTCCTCTCTCTCTCTCCCACTCTATCTGAACAAAAAATGGAAAAATGTCCTCCAGTGAGGATTAAAAAAAAAAAAAAAGAAGGAAATCAGATGAACCTAGAGGGCATTATGCTAAAGTAAAATAAGCCATTAAGAGAAAGACACATACTGCATGCTATCACTTATATGTGGAATCTAAAAAAGAAGAAAAAAAAGGTTGAACTCATAGAAACAGAGAATAGTGGTTGTCAGGGGCTGGGAGGTGGAGGAAATAGAGAGGTTAGTAAAAGGGTACAAACTTTTAGCTACAAGATTAATAAGGTCTGAGGATCTAGTGTATATAATATGATGACTATAGTTGATAATATTGTATTGTATCATTGAAATTTGCTAAGAGCATAGAACTTAAATGCTCTCACCAAAAGCGGGGGGGGGGGGGGTGTAAATATGTGAGGTGAGGCATGTGTTTAATATAATGGAATACTATGAAAAAACCCTATACACATAAATTCAGCAACTTAGATAAAATGGACCAATTCCTTGAAAACCATAAACTACCAAAACTCAGCCAATATGGAATTTATAATCTGAATAGATCAGTAATTATTAAATAAATTAGATTTGTAATTTAAAATGTCTTAAAAAAAAAAGAAAACTCCAGGTCCACATGGTTTCACTGGAGAATTCAATCAAACATTTAAAAAATTAACACCAATTTTACACAATGTCTTCTAGAATACCAAGAGGAGGGAATATTCCCGTGTCAGGGATCACTGAGACTATTCTCAAGCTGGATGATTCACTAGGAACTCAGCATACAGTCAAACTCATGGCCAAGATTTATTACAGCAAGAGATTACAGAGCAAAATCAGCAAAAGGAAAAGCCATGTGGGTTGAAGTCCAGAGAAAGCCAGGTACAAGTTTGCAAGAATACTCTCCCAGTGGAGTCACACAAGATATACTTAAGTCCTCCAGCAAAGGGTTATGACAACACATGTGAAATGTCTTCTATCAGGGAAGCTCATTAGAAAGTTCTCAGGGCATTTAATGGGGGTTGGTCATGTAGGCACCCTCTCCCTAACACTTACCAAAATTCCAGACTTCCAGAAAAAAAGCAGATGTTCAACACAAACCACACTGTTTGTACAAACAGCTTAGGCACAGTGAGCCACTCTTATCAGTCCTGGAAATGGTGGGAACTCACCCTAAATCAAAGTTTCCAGATGCTACCCAAGGGCCTGCTATGTTAACTATTTTCTGCACAACTTTCCAACTCATTTTATGGAGCCAGTATTATACGAAAACCAGACAAAGACAGTATGAAAGAAAACCCTCAAAAATTCTCTCATGAACATTGATACAAAAATCTGTAACAAAATAGTAGTGATATAGAATCCAGAAAAAAATAAAAAGAATTATACCATAGCCAAGTGGGGCTTATCCCAACTATGTAAGGTTAGTTCAAAAATCAATATTCAATCAGTGTAATTTACCATATCCACAGACTAAAGAAGAAAAGTTAAATGATCATATCAATTGATGCAGAAAAAGCATTTGACAAAATTCAACATTCATTCATGATTAAAATGCTCAAAAACTAGAAATAGAAGGGTACTTTTTCAACTTGGTAAAGAGCATCTAAAAAAAAAAAAGCAAATCGTTTTCTCAATGGTGAAAGATGGAATGTTTCCCCCCTAGAAAGGGAAGAGGGAAGAATATCCACTCACACCACTCTTATCCGACATAATACTGAAAGTTCTAGCCTGAACAATAAGGCAAGAAAAGGAAATAAAAGGCATACAGATTGAAAAGGAAGAAATAAAACTGTCCATATTCATAAATAATATGATTGTGTATGTAGAAAATTCCAAAGAATCTACCAAAAAACTCCTAGAAATAATAATTGGGTTCAGCAAAGTCAAAGGGTACCAAATCAACACAAACACAAATAATTGCATTTCTATATACTAATAATGAACAATGAATGGAGAAACTGAAATTTAAAACACAGTACTATTTATGATCACTCCAAAGAAAATGAAATATGGTATAAACTTAACAAAATATGTATAGAATCTGTATGCTAAAAATTGCAAAATGCTGATGAAAGAAATCAAAGAGGATCTAAATAAATGGACAGATACATATATTGTGTTCATGGATTGGAACACTCAATATAGTAATATGTCAATTTTCCTCAAATTGATCTATAGGTTTAACACAATTCCTATAAAAATCCCAGCAAGCTCATTCCAAAATTTATATGGAAAGGTAAATGACCCTGAATAGCTAAAAACAATTTTAAAGAAGAATGAAGTGAGAGAAATCACTCTACCCAATGTTAAGGCTTACTCCATAGCTCTAGTAATCAAGACTGTTTGGTATTCACGAAAGGACAGACACATAGAACAATAGAACAACAACATTTTTTTTTCTAAAAAACAGAAATAGCCCCATACAAACAGCCCAACACAAATATGCCCAACTGATTTAGACAAAGGTATAAAAGCATTCAATGGAAGAAAATAGTCATTTTTAACAAATTATGTTTGTCATCAGACCTTAAGTTGACATTTTACACAAAAATTAATTCAAAATGAATCATGGATTTAAATGTAAAGTATAAAACTTTTAGAAGAAAATATAAAAGAAAGTTTGTGGGGACTTAGGGCTAGGTGACATTAAAAGGACACTATATAACTGCAGACATAAGAGATAAGTTGTAGTTCATCAAAATTAAAATTTTGGTCTGCAAAATCTCTTAAGAGGATGAAAAGACTAGCTACAGACTGGGAAAAATATTTGCAGACCATGTATCTGACAGAGAAGTTGTATTTAGAATATATAAAAAATTCTCAAAGTTTAACGTAAGAAGCAAACAAATACAGTTAGAAAATGGGCAAAAGACATGAACAGACATTTCACCAAAAAAGATATACAGATAGCAAATATGCACATGAAAAAACATTCAACATCATTAACTATTAAGGAAATGCAATTTAAAACATATATCACTACATACTTATTAGAATGTTTAAAATAAAAATATAGTCACAATATCTAATGCCAGCAAAAATGTAGAGAAACTGGATAGCTCTCATACATTGCTGGTGGGAATGTAAAATGGTACAGACAGTCTGGAAAATTCTGGCAGTTTCTTATAACACTAAATTTACACTTACTATCTAACCCAGCAATTGCACTCTTGGGCATTTGTCACAGAGAAATGAAAACATATGTTTACACTAAAAAACTCTACATAAATGTTCATAGCAGTTTTATTTTTAATAGGCAAAAATTGGAAACAACCCAAATGTCCTTTAATGGGTGAATAGTTAAACTGTAGTACATCCATACTATTGCAATATTACTACTCAGCAATAAAAAGCAATGAACTATTGATATGTGCAACAACTTGGGTAGATCTCAAGGAAATTCTGCTGAGTGCAGCAAAGGCTATTTCAAACTGTATGATTCTATTTACATAATATTCTTGAAATAACAAAATTATAAAGATGGAAAACATGTTAGGGGTTGCCAGGGGTTGGGTTAGAGTAGGGGAAGATGATAGTGACTATAATGGGTAGCAGGAAGAATCTTTGTGGTGGAGGAACAGTTGATTGTGGTGGTTACCCAAAACTACATGTGATGAAATTGCATAGTACTATAGACAGACACAGAAACACCGACACAGAAATGAGTGCATGTGAAAGTGGTGAAATCTGAATAAGGTCTGTGGATTGTACCAGTCAGTATCTTGGTTATGTAAGTTATTACCACTGGGGGAAACTGGGTGAAGAGTATATGGGAATGCTCTGTAATATTTTTATAGAGCCTGTGAATCTATAATTATTTCCAAGTACGTATAATAAAATGAGGTAAGTTTGAAGGACTATGGGTATTTTAAAACTCACACATTTGTATACTATAAAATAGAACTACATGTTTAATATGGAAAACAAGCAAAATATAAAAGAGCCTACTCTTGTGTTTAGCCTAGAAATGTTAATGAAATTGACCATATGAGTTCATGCCAATTGCACATGGCACATAGCCAAATCCAGATAGGTAAATCAAAAAGGGTTTTCTGTTTGAGTCAGGATTCCACCAGAGAAGCAGACCTATAGTATATTATATCTCTATCTATCTATCTATCTATCTATCTATCTATCTATCATCTATCTAATGTATGCATTCATTCACTGGAAGATACTGGTTTACACAATTGTGAGGCTGGCTAAGCAAATCCAAAATCTGTAGGGCACACAGTCAGAACGGAATGATGGGACCCACACAGATTATACAGGACAATCTCCCTTACTTTAAATCATTTGATCTGGAGCTTTAATTTCATCAAAATATCTTCACAGCAACACGTAATGTTTGATTTAATAACTGGGGGCTGTAGCCTAACCAAGTCGACACATCAAAAAGCCACACAACATCATAAACCATTTGTGCTTGCAACTGAATAAGTGTATTCTGTTAATAGCCACCTTGGCTTTATCATTATAGGTAATCCAAGCGCAAACGACTTAAATCAATAGTAGTCAACAAGTTTTCTACACGAGGGTCCACTTGTAGAACTTTGGAGTTGAAAGAGATCACGAAAAGCTTAGTTTGTATTTGAACACAGCCAAGGCACCTCTCTGTGACCCTCCGTGACACTCGGCGGAACCGAGGATCCCAGCAGCAGCAGAAGCAGAGAGGAACCCACCTGGAGCACCGCTTGGCAGTGCGGGAGCACGAGGTGGGCGGAGCCTCGAGGAGCGCTAGTGTTGCAGACGGCGCCCAGCCCGCCAGAAGTGCGCGCGGCTGGCGGACGGCGGGGAGCCAGTCGGGTAAAGCGAGTGCGGCCGGCGGTGGGAGTGGGGGGGGGGGGGTGCAGAAGGGGGAGGAAGGAAGGGGAAGAGGCGGAGCGTGGGAGCGCACAGTGTCAGGAATACAATAGTGCTCCGTGCAGCTTCAGCCGCCACCGCGCTGCCGCCGCCCAACCGCCTGCCCGGCGCTGAGGCCTGACGGGCCAGGCGGGTGAGGGCCGAGGGCGGGAGCTGAGGCGCAGGGGGCGGCCCCAGCGGAACAGGCGGCTGGGCGGGGGAGGGGAGGAGATTAGGGGGCAGGTGCGAGGGAGGGGAGAGAAGAAAGCGAGCAGTTCGGGGGGCGGTTACCACTCCTACCAGACTCTCCCGGCACTCTGCCGGGCCCGAGCGTGGAGCCGGGAGGGAACCGCGACTGGCTGCGCGAAGGTAGGCGCCACTGTGGCCGGACGCGGCGCGAGCGTGTTGGGGGGCGGCGCGCCGGGTGGGCACGGGAGGGGCGGCCTCAGGGAACCGAAGCGGCGGCGTGGGGCGCAGCGTCCCGGCCCAGCCTCGCGGCGCTCCGGTTCGCTCCGACGTCCCCGGCCCCTGGGGTGGAAAGCGAGTGTTCGCTGAGGTAAAGTGGCCGGCGCGGGGGGCTGGGGCGGGCGCCTGAGCTCCGCTGCAGCCACACTCGGGCAGGCGTGGAGCGCCATAACTGTTGCGGCGGTTCCCTCCGGTGCCTCTTCCCGACGCCCCCTCGTTCCCCGTCCTCTGCCTGATCTCGGGGCTCACGGGGTCAGACCCGCGGCGGGAGGTCTTACTCTGCGGACTGCTCGGGGCCGGATGCTCCGGGGAGCGAGGGCGCGCCCTGGCTATTTCTATGTTGGGGGGCGGGAAGAACCGAGTGCCCGGAGAGGGGAGCCGGGGAGCGGCGAGGCCCCCGGTGAGCCCTGGCGCTCCGCGGGCTGGCGAACTTTCCCTCCCCCTCACGTTATTGTTCGGGCAATGCCGGTCTAGGGCCGCCAGGGCCACCGAGCGCCTGGCGGTCCGGAGGGTGGGAAAAGCGGGAGAGCTTTGGGAGTCTTCTGAGGAAAATTTCCCATCGCTGGGCTTAGCAAAGTTAACTTTTCTTCAACAATCGAGTTGGTTTTATTTCCTCGCCGTGGGGCAACCAATTGAAAAAGAAAAAAAAGCCTGCCTCTCTTTAATCTTTTTCTCTCGCTTTGCAGAGCCACTGATTCAAAGAAGTCGGGCTTTAAATTGCAGAGGGCAACCTGCGTTTATTATTTGGGAGGAAGGGAGGGGGGCGGGATCTCGAGTGAGTGACCGAAATGGTGGTATGTGAAGACATGTTTAAAAGTTGGTATCATTGTGTAGCCCTGGGATATATGTACCTTCTAGGCATTTGGCAAGAAACTTGTTTGACCACTTCTCTGACTTTCCGAATTGCAAGGAAATCCATGACCTCAGATGTGCACGAGATTTTAAAATGTGAGTTCCATTTAACTGTAAAGCTGAGGAGTAGATCCCGGTGCCGCCGCCCCCCCCCCCCCCATCTGATTGTATAAGAAATCAAAACTGTGTTGATGGTGATTCCAGTGGTCTGGAGCGAAAGACTTCATTCCCTGTATTCAACCTGATAAAGATAAGTGTCTGCTTCTCTCTAAACTCTAAAATAATTTAGGTGAAGACTGGTTGTACAACATCTTGGCTTACTTTAAGCAACCCAGAATCCACTTTCCCAGAGCAGTTCTCTTCTTAAATACCTTCCCTGTAATCACTTCTTGTTAGCCATGGGAGTGGGGGGTGAGAAAGGAGTCCGCCTGAACAAAGCAGTGTGTTTTTATTTAATGTAATACTTTCATAGCATCTGTAAACGATGGGAATGTGGATCCCAGCCTCCGTACCCTTTGAATAGTGTATTTCTCATGCTTTTAGAGTATCCTGTAATTTCTCACCAGAGAAGTGAAATGGATGTTTTATTCTTTTTGTTTATCATAGGAGTATTCTACCTTCATAACATTTTTTTCCCCCACTTAAAGTGAACTCTGAGCTTAAATACTTGGGGTGAAGGAATTACATGAGATCTTTGGGAAGTGCTTCTTGGTTAGTGTGAGCTACCATCATTTCCACCTTTTCTTTAACTGTGCTTTTCTCTACAATTTTCTTCGATAGAAAAGAGCTCTTAACCCAGTATTGTTGCCTTGAAACAGTTCCTTGCATTCTTTGTTCAGACAATTATGGAATACTCAGGATGCAGATCTGGTTCTAGAACTCACACTTTCTCTCTCTCTGTTTACTTAGCCATCTTGGTATGCCTTGGCCTTCTCACCTGTAGGAGCCTGTGAATCTTTGTTTCAGGTAAGGGAAAGTGGAGAATGGCCTCCCACTCCTTCCAGAAGTGTTTGTGATCAACTGGGAGCCAAGAGTCACTTGGAAGCAGCTTGGGGGCACCTATGGCCCACCATATGGGGTATAGAGGAGGTTCTCAGGATCAGGACAGGTGATGGTACAGGGCTCTCATCAGAGTTGAGACATGTGCTAACCAAAATTAAAGAACAAAGGATGTTGAAGGCTTGTAGGTTGGGTATAATCCTCTTCTTTGATAATGCTTGTATTTTCCCTCCCTTGTGTTCCAACAGCCATAGCAACCCATTTCTCCCCTAAGCTATACAAAGTCTTTCTTCTTTTTCCCACTACTTTGATGTCTGGCTAGAACTAGACAACTATCTGGGGGAAGTTGGGGAGGCAGGAGGCATCAGGTTTTCTTGAAGACATGGCATTACAGAGGGCTCTTATACGCCTTAATCAGGGGCAGAGGTTGAACATTATCATAGGACATAATGACCTACCTCTTCATGGAGCTTACACAAAACAGGAGCTGAGGAAGGTAGAGATCATATGCTGGCTTACATGTGAACTTTACTTACCTCATCTTATAGGTGAGGGGTGGGTGTTGGGTGACATCCATCTGGCACGCTCCTGAAATGGCTAATATGGGGACACTTGAATGGTTTACAGGTTTCTACCTATTGTTCCAGTTACAATGGCTGAGAAAGCTGAAGCATTCTGGTTTGTGGGATGGAGGATCTAGGATGAGTGGGTAGAAGTGAAGAATAAGAGTGCTAGCAAGTGGTCATACAGACAAAGTAACTACTGCTTTGAATTTTCTGTTTTCTGGATTCTTTGCGACTCCCTCTGGTTATTTGCCTCCTCCCTCTAGGTCTCTCCATAGACAATAGCAGCAAAGCTCTTACCATCAGAACTGTCTCTGTGCTTCTCTTGGAGGAACAGGGAGAAAGAAGGATCCTGGGGAGAGTGCTTGACCCCATAGCTAAGTTTGGGAAAAGAAAAGTAAGAACTCAGAGGTCAGTCAATTGAAGAAAGTAGGGGGCTGGTGTGGGGAAATAGTACTGGGGCTTTGACCAATAGGGTGTACCAATGCATTCATTAATACACCTCAAGCAGTAAGTAATTTTTTTTTTCCTTATTGATTTTAGAGAGAGAGAGGAAGGGCAAAGGAGAGAGAGATAGAAACATCGATGAGGGAGAACATCGATTGGCTGCCTCCTCCATGCCCCCCACTGGGAATCAGGCCCACAACCTGGGCATGTGCCCTGACCGGGAATCAAACTGGTGACCTCTTGGTACATGGGTCAACGCTCAACCATTGAGCCACACCGGTCGGACGGCGGTAAGTAATTTAATCTCTTGTCACAACCCAGAAGCCATGGCTGAGTCCTGCTACCCAAGGAGCTCCTTGTCCCTTGATATTGGCTGATAGACAAGGAAACCCAAGCCTAGAGTGTGTTTTTTGGAATAGCTGACAAGAGAATGTGGTACCAGCATGGCCAGTATACTAGACCTTGTGTGTTGGAATCTCCTGGGAAAATTATATTATTATTTTTACAATTTTTTAAACTTTTAATTTTGATATAATATTATAATTACAAAAAAGTTACAGGAATAGTACAAACAACTCCTGTATTCCCTTTACCCAAGGTCGTCAGTTATTAACAGTTTGTTCCCACTTGCTTTATCATTTGCTCTTTCTGTTTCTTTTTATGAACAATTCAAGGGTAACCATTGAGAGACTGGTACTTGTCAAGGGCATCCTGTCATGAAAGATGGCTCACGTGCAGCCACAGGGTACAACAGAACATTGGTGGTGATGTAGGGCCCTAGAGATAGAGTGAAGGCTACCTATAGCCGTAAAACACATGCTTTGTAAGTCACATGGAATTTCTGGTGCTGGATATAGAAATTATTATCAATTGTAAAGTGGTTAAGATAAACTCCTCCTTTGTCATCATTCATGTCAATTTTGTTCCTAACTATGCCTAACTTTAATATTGTTATGAAAATCCACTCCACCCCCCCAACTTTAAAGCTGTATATATTCTCCATCATTTTAATTAATTCAGTCAGCAAACATGTATTGAGTGCCTCCTATTTGTTGTGGGTCCAAGAGGGGAAAGATATTCATCTCCTTAAAAGCTCAACATCCAGTGGAAAGGAAATAAGGAAAACTACCATCACAATCAGGGAAAGAGTATTCTGCTGAAGGTGTTTACAGGGCAGGTGATTGGTTAAGGATCTGGGAGTGTCGTTTGGGATGTATGTGAATGTGAAGATCCACCTTCTCTGAGGCTTGCTGCTCTTAGATGACAAGGTGCATGAGTTAGGGAAGCCTTTGGTGTCATGCACCCAGCACAGGCTATCGGGTCAGGCCACTTTGGATTCTAATCTACCACTTGATCTTGGCCTCAGTTTCTTAATCTGCCAAACCACATCTCCAAGGTAATAATTGAGATAACAAGTGCTCTGTAAACATTAATTTCATTTTCCCCTCCAAAAATGCAGTATGTGGGAAAATAGTATGAAAGGTATTAGGTAGTAAGGTGAATGGAGTGTTTCTATTTTTTCTACAAATAATTACTAATTGTACTAAGTGCTATGATGGAGATTACCATATGGGATAATAGCAGTAACAGCAGCGATGATTTGTTAACCATTTCCAGTGTGCTGAGCATGGTGCTAAGTGCTTAACTTAAGACATTCCTCTGAGGTGTGAGGCTCAGAGTGGTGAAACAAAGGTAGCTTGCCCAAGGTCACACAGCAAGTAAGAATACTTCTGTGAGGGAGACCAGCAAGGTATCCTGGGGCCTGAAGGATGAGCAGGAATAAGCAAAGTACAAGTCAGAGAGAATGGATTGCCAGGCAGAGGGAACAGCAGGTGTTGTGAGGGCACTGAGGTGGGAAAGAAATGTGGAAAGGATCCTCAGAGGTTTGGCTAGAACCTGGGGAAAGAGAGATGAGGTATGAGGTAGGCAGGGGAAGATTTACAGGGCCTTATGGGACCTTATTAAGGAGCTTGTGTTTTATTCCAAGGACCATAGTAAGCTGCTGGAAGGTGTTTTTCACTTTTTCTTAAACCTTGTGTGTGT